TCCGACCAGGGCTTCGACCTCATGAACAAGTTCCTGACCTACTTCCCTGGGCGGCGGATCAACGCTGAAGATGGCCTCAAACACGAGTATTTCCGAGAGACCCCACTTCCCATTGATCCCTGGATGCTCCGCACGTGGCATGCCAAGAGGGAGCAGCAGCGGGTGAAGCGAGGCACCACCCCTCGGCCGCCTGAAGGGGGCTTGGGCTACAGCCAGCTGGGTGACGATGACCTCAAAGAGACTGGTTTCCACCTGACCACCACAAGCCAGGGGGCCTCCGCTGCAGGTCCTGGCTTCAGCCTCAAGTTTTGACTTCGGCCGATGCAGTGTCCCTGCAAGGGGCCTGGCTGAGCAGGGGATGGAGGTTCCCATTGGTGAGGAGAGCGGCTTCACTGGCTCAATACCTGGGTTTCTGAACCCGCCCGCAAGCTTCTCAATAAAGCCTGCTTCTAAAACTTTACCAATTGGATCTTTAATTCCGCTTCGCGCCCCAAATACTCTTACACCATGCACCTCCCGAAGCAGAGGGAGCAGCAGCGTGAGCAGCTGAAGCAGATGAAACAGCGCATCGCTGAGGAGAACATCATGCAATCCAACATCCTGCGCTGTGACCCCCATGGTGCCCCCCCATAGAGATGCTGTGAGACTAGAAGCTGCTTGACCACAATGTCAAATGCCAGCGAGGTCTTCCATTGTTGGGAATCGTCACTTTACAGTCAAAATCTGAGCGATGGAGAGGACAAGGCACAGCCCTGAGTCTATTGAGTTTGTTTTGTATAGAACAGCCTGTGCAGGGAGTTCTGTTAGATAATAAAGTATCATTTTTGCTACAGAAGATTCTTATTCATTCTTTGATTAGAAAAGTAATGGAACATCTTAGTCAGATTGACTAAACACTTAGGTTTACTGTACCCTGCTTCCTGATGCTGATGGTATATATATCTGCTGGCTAAAAAATAAATCTGGTGGTTGCTGAATTTTCACCAGTCCTCCTAACCCTGTTGTTTGTCTTTTTTAGTAATCCCACTCCACCTCTCCCTGTGTAAACCCTCTGCAGGTGCGGGTCACCACACTCCATGGTGAAAAGATTCAGTAGAGGTTCCAGACTATGAATAGAATACAAAATAAAACTAAGCTATCTCTCCTCACCTAGGGGATTAAGAATGAAACAGGTGTGAACAGAGGGGGCACATTGTTCCATAAGGGGATTCACTCAGTTTATAGAACACTTAAATTATGATGGAAAGAGCTGCCTCCAAAAAGTAAAGTCCACCCTATGCCAGGGATGGAATAAAGCTTCCAAATCTATTTATTTTCAGAACTCTAAATGAAAAGGAACAAGT